TTTTAAAAATATTAAAAAATCAAATATTTTTAAGTTATAAATACATATTAAAAAAAAAAAGGTTTAAGATATTACCTTATAATTGTTATGAGTATTTTATAATGATTAATTTAAAAGTGTGAATGGACCTTAAAATGTTCACCAAACGAAATTTTATCTTCCCGTCTGATAAAGCCGTTTTATTAATCGTTGTCAAATCTGCTCAGCTTACCCCTACTAGACAAGGCGACACATCAGTTAGGTTATAAAAAGAACTATAAGGCTTGGGGAAAAAAGGATAAGTATAATCAAAAGTCAAATAAATAGGTAAAATATAAACACTTAAGTGATTCCAGATAAATGTTTTTTTAAGCATCTAAGAGAAAAATAGCAAAAATATATTTTTTTACTTTTTTGGTCCAAAATCGAAAATGTATCTGTGCATGTTACTGAACCGCAGTCCAACAACTATTTGATACGCATTTTGTTACCATTCTAAATACCTATCTTTTATCCATTAGATGTTTTGCAATGGGATGAGTAGTTTTTGAGATATTTTAGTTTCCCAATTTGCCCTTTTATATAAATATTTTAGTTGCCCAACTTTTATAGAGATCTTTTAGTTGCCCAACTTGCTCAACTAGCCCCGCTCTACCCTACCATTTTATTTTATGTTATGTTCATTTTTATTTTTTTTTTTACACTATTATCAAAAACTTAATTTTATAAAAACATGAATGCTACCCAGCGGTTCTTGATGCTACCCAGCGGTTCTTAATGACCTTTTTTTTAACTTCAACACTGTTATTTGATGAAAAGTTGTAACAATAAACTTTTAGACGCTAAATTTCTTTTTGCTTACATATATGTTAGCAAAAACTATATATGTATGTGTGTATATATATATATATATATATATATATATATATATATATATATATATATATATATATATATATATATATATATATATATATATATATATATATATATATATATATGCTAAACAAAAATAAAATTTATTATTGTGTAAGAAAATGAAAATAAATGCACAAAATTATTACGTATCAGATTAATAAAATTACATTAATATAATATTGAAACAAACTTTAATATAAATTTTGGTTTAAAAACTCTTATATATATATATCTATTTTTCCAAACTACAATACCTAAAAATAGGAAATCAAAGAAGATTTAGCATTTTTGGGTATAAAATTCAAAAAAAAAATCTTTACGATTCTCTAAATAGCGCCATTTGGCGTTTATCTGTCTGTGTAAAAAGTTAATTTAAGTAAATTTAGTAATAATTTTTATGTAATTAGCTTTGTAACTACTGTTTCTACTGTTGTTAATGTATTTTTTTTATTTTTAATAATATCTTATTTTATTTTTTTTTTTAGTTTTAATGCAATCATTTTGACAAACCAAGAATATGCAGCTTTGCTTGTCGTTTAATCAAAGATATTCCATTTAAGTTTTTTAATTTTTGAAGTTTTCCCCTGTATTGGGGCATAATTTATATTTATCATCGCATTAGAAGGATATTTAACAAGTTTTTTTTTTCCAGAAAAATATGAACAAGGTAAATTTACATTGACTATTACTGGTAGGACTTCCAGAAGATCACATGATCTTATCATGAAGCCCTTTACAATATATATAACGAATTAAAAGGTAGAAAATTTACAAATATTAAAAATTACATAAGCGTTAGAATATTCTTCAGGTGTTAAGCAAGTTTTAACATAATATTTTATAATATGGATATATAACATTCTCAATATTGAACAATATTATAATATAAAGTATTCAGCATATATTGTTTAAATAATATTCATCACACAGTCGACAAAAATATCAAATAACTTGAAATACTAAAAATAAATAAATATATTTTGTGTTTAAAAGATTATTTCTTTTGTTTTCTTTTTAAAGGAGGAATAAGACCGTTTAAAAAAAAAATCAAAGTTAGGTAAAACTATTTTATTCCAAAGAAATGGACCACGATAAGAAATAAAAAACTGGTCAATTTTTGTTTTGCAAAACGGCTCTTGAATATTTTTACTATCACGAAGTTCATATTTGTTTTTTGGTTTCAAATTATAGAGATTTATAAATACACTTGGAGATAAATTTTCTTTACATTTAAACATAAAACATAAGTTATTAAAAATATTTAGTTCGTATATATTTAAAGCTTTTATTTCTATAAGTGGTGTTGAGCTTGAAAAACGATTTCCAAAATTAATTATGCGAGCTGCGTGCTTCTGATGCCGATAGAGAGATTTAAGTTTGGTTTTGTGAGCGCTTCCCCATATAATATGGGCATAGTTTATATGGCAATGAATAAATGAATAATATAGTTAAGTTAGTTGCCTTTTATTTAGTATATATCGAGCTTTGTATAGAACTCCAATGTTTTTAGCAACTTTCATTGAAATACTATCAATTTGCTGACTCCAAGATAAGTTTTCATCTATTATGACTCCTAAAAATTTTGTAAATTTTTCTCTTTTTATGATTGTATTGTCAATGAATAGGTCAGGTAAGATATTTTGGATTCTCTTTTTTTTAGAGGTTGGGTGAAAAAGTATAAACTTTGTTTTATCCGTATTCAAGGACAATTTATTTTTTCTAAACCAATATGATATTCTTTTTAATTCATTATTCATATTATTAAAAAGTATTTCTATGTTTTCGTGCGACTGAAATAAATTCGTATCATCTGCAAAATTTACGGTCGTTAGGATAGAAGCTTTGTAAAGATCATTTATGTATAATAGAAATAATAGTAGTCCAAGTATGGACCCTTGGGGGACAGCGCATGTTAGATTTTCTATTATTTGCGATGAAGATTCTTTGTTATAAACAAATTGTTTGCGGTTACTTAGATAGCTTTTGAACCAATTTAGGGTTTTATCTTTTATACCATAGCTCTCTAGCTTTTTTATTAAAATATGATGATTAACAGTATCAAAAGCTTTTGACAAGTCAATGAATATGCCTAGTGTGAATTGAGAATTCTTAAATGAATCGGCAATACTGCGTGTTACTTGGAGAATAGCGTGTTTAGTAGAACTGTTTCTCTGAAAACCAAATTGATTTTTCTAAAGATAGATATAAAAATAGGAATATAAATTTCATATTTCTATTAGAATTTTTATTAATTTTGTTTTATGTTTATTAGCCCACACTATGTCAGCATATGTGAGATGACTATGAATTAGACTAAAGTAAAGTTTTTTTCTTGAACAGAAATCAAGAAATCGGGGAGATTTATATAAAATATCTATTGCAAAAGATATTTTTAATTCCTAATATGATTTCTCAATGGTAAATTTACATTTGAATACCAAAAAAACATTGCATATTTTTCCCATTTTATTGCTATGTTGTTAATGAGCAACTCTGGAATTTTTAACGGTAGAAACATTTATTGACCTGTTTTATGAAATAAAATGTTGTTAGCTTTTTTACTGTGTAAGGATTGTATATTTGCTCTAAACCATAAATTAAAGTTTTCCAGTTCATCATTCATTCAACGTAATTATGCTATTTTTTTTTTCTAGGTGCCTTACGGTCTGTGTTGGGGCACAGAGCACCGCGGAAGTACATTTAACCAGGAAGTTCACGCCTCCTTCCTTACCGTGACGCAAAAATAGCCCAGACCTGGCTTTGAACCTGGATCTCCTGCTTATAAAGCAGGCGCTCTAACCACTGCGCCACAGCCGCACAAATTTAATACGCAAGTGCATACCTGCAAGTTCAATGCACTTAGAATGCGCTTTCTTAACTGCTGGGCATGTGGTCAATTAAATAATGAAATAACGACGGCTTGCATCTTTGGCACCCAAAACAGTAGAGTTATTAGTTATATAAAATGTAACAGAAACTTGTGTAACCTAGAAACTTTAAATAAAATAAAATTTAGATCACTGATCTCAAAATATAATTATATTATAATATATAAAATAATGATCTCAAAATATAATTATATTATAAATATAGTTATATTTTGAGATCAGTGATTTAGATATAAATGAAAAAAAAGTACACTTTAATAAATGACATAATGGAATGAAAATTTTTTATTGAACAGACTTTTAAAAAAATATTGTTTTTTTAACGGGTACCCATGTTTAAAGGGCAATGTTTCTCCGTAACGGGTACCCGTGTTTGACGGGCAATGTTTGCCCGTCCGTTAGACGGGCAATGTTTCAACACTCCCCCACCCCCATTTTATTCTAATATTTATCTCTGATATTTTCTGGTAGTGTGGAATAAAGTAAATACTTATTTTTTGAATTTAAAAGTTACAAGCTTAATAAATAAAAAAGTCTTTTATGGAAAATTATGTATTTTTCCATAGTAAGATAAGAATATATTATTAAGAATAGATAGTAAGATAAAAATATATTATTAAAAACCTCCTTTTTGTAGATTTTGATAATTTTTTCACATTTGGTTCAAGTCTGAAAAAGTTATTAAAATTATCGAATAAAGGCCTTTATTTCAGTATTTCAAATTTTTCATTCCATTATTTAATCAACATAAAAATTTCATGTTACATACCTATGACAACCATAACAAACAAATACTAAAACAACAATGTTGTTTTAGTATTTGTTTTTATTTTTATTATTGTTATTGTTAATAATAATAATAATAATAATAATAATAATAATAATAATAATAATAATAATAATAATAATAATAATAATAATAATAATAATAATATTATTGTTGTTATTATTAAAAATTTTAATATTATCAACATATTAAATTTTAATAAAAGTTGTTTTTAAGATAAAAGGGTGCTGATTTTATTAGTAAGTAGCCCACAGTATTCATTTTAATTGGCAACATTTCATTAAGCAACATTATTAGTGCTATCTTAATATCATTTAGTTTTAGTTTTTACATTAAAAAGGAAAAATCTTATTTTTGAAAAACTATTATTTTTAAACTATATTTTCAATTTATTTTAAACTTTTAAAAACTTTTTTATTAACTTGTAGATTTTTTCACAATAATGTCAAATATTTCGGAAACTTCATTTTGCAATTTGAAAAATGGTTCACATTTGTTGGTTCAATTTATTAACTGTCGAATTCTTTATCAAAAGGAAATCATTAAAGAAGATTTTTGGGTTAAAAATGGAAAAATTTTAAATCCAGAGAAAATTTTTTTTGATGAAAAACTTTCGGCTGATATTCAAATAGATTGTAAAAATATGATTATTGCTCCTGGATATATTGATACCCAGCTAAATGGTACATTTTTAATTTTGTTTTTAATGTAAAAGTAAGTTTAACTTAAGTTGCTTGTTTTTGTATATAATATAAGTTTGAATTAAATTAATTTATAATCAGTTATTAGTTGTGTAATATAACATTATATATATACATATATATATATATATATATATATATATATATATATATATATATATATATATATATATATATATATATATATATATATATATATATATATACATATATATATATATATATATATATATATATATATATATATATATATATATATATATGTATATATATGTATATATATATATATATATATATATATATATATATATATATATATATATATATATATATATATATATATATATATATATATATATATATATATATATATATATATATATATATATATATATAAAGTAAAAATTAATAAACAGGGAAAAGGAGGGTGGGGTAGGGATTAATAAGCTCAGGGTAAGTGTAAAATTTCCAGAAAATAGTTAACATTTTCTTCCATATATTGAGAATAAAATGCTTTAATTCTTCCAAATTCTTTCATATAATTCATTTATATGAGCCATAAACTCTTATGATGAACATCAATAAACAATATAAATATTTTGACTGGTTCAAAGTCTTCTAAGTAACGCAAAATAGTAATGAAATGTGGTTGACCAGACGCATCATTTACTTAATAGGAATAATTTGTATCAATCACATATTTAATTGTTCATTTTTGTCAAAAAAATGTTTTTTATACCATTTCTGTAAGCAGCATCAAAGTTAATTTGGTCAAATGCTTAAAACTGCAACAATTAGTTATGTGCGTTTAAATAGATTTGTATTCACTCAGATATTTTATATCTTTAGAGTCAAAGTCTGTCAACAAGCTCTCACTACCAAACAAAATCCAAAAAGTAATTCATTGTAGGACATTATAGAAGTTTTTTTAATTAAGTTTAAAAAAAATTCTTAGAAGAAGTTAATGCTGACTTAAAATACTTCCCTGTTTCAGTATTCTTGATTAATAATAAGAATAAAGACTAGAGATGTTGTCTTAAAAATAATCATTGCGTTTAGTCTTTCATATCTATCATTTCCTTGGGGTTAATATAGTATTAACTTGTTGACATTGCCCATAAAAAAACATCAGATAAAAAGTCTGTCATGGTGTTTAATTGTTTAGCTATAGAACAACATTAAATTGCTGTATATCCTGGTCTTTTTAGGAACTGGTTTTGGCATTATATTTTCTATTAGTTGTTCATTGTTTATTTTAATTATTTACTTTTATTCCAAAATTATTTGCCATTATTTTAAATTGATGTAAGACTTCTGTTTTGATTTTCTTAATTTGATCCACATAATATATGAATAATAAATAAATCAGAAAATTAAAAAAAAAAAAAAAAAAAAAAATATTATCAGCATTATTACAGTACAATAGTAGGTTTTTTGTAATTTGCATTGACAAAGACAAAGGTGTTTATTTTATTTTTTAAACATCTTCACTTCCAACAAGGTTACAAGTAACCACTATTAGAGTTGGAAGTTACTTGAATAGGAAAGATTAAGGTTATAGAGTAAGATAATAATTAGCAGATGACTTAAAAGATTGCAAATTATATGAATCAGGAAAACAAGATGAAGGCAGCAAATTTCAAAGAAACTGATGTTCAATAAAAAATACTTGGCAAATAAAATTTTTTGGAGCACTTAGGAATAGTTAGGGGTAATACCGGTTATGGGTTTTCAGGTAAATACCTAATTTTAGTTCAAGTTTTTTACCATTAAATTTTTATAATTTACCAGTAAATCAAGGATTGTTATAATTTTCTTTTTAATTCCTAATTGCTGAATATTTTTATCTAATAAAGAACATACTATAAATATTGAATAAATAATTTATTTTCTTGTCAATAAATTAAAAATTAAAAATATAAAGGTGTAAAGCTTTATATTTTTACACCTTTATATTAAAAATATAAAGGTGTAAATTCTTTTGCTTGAACTTAACGCTTGAGTAAACTTAACGACTCTATTTAAGCAACGTTTGAAATAGATGTTGGCTTGTTTTGCAAATTTTTTATCGTTAAAAAAAATATTTTTTTAAATTTCATTTTAAAAGTTATTTTTAAAGACATTTCAATGGATAAAAATTCAATTTGGAATTACTATAATCGTACAGAAACAAGAGATAGCCGTATGTAAACAATGCACAAAAAGAATTAATACTGGTGGTTTACATGTCCATCAAAAGAGTCAACATAAAATTAATGCGTTAAAAAGAAATATATAAGAACGGGCAAAAGAACCAGCAGTTGCAATAGCATCAAAAATTACTTCTTTTTATCAAAGAGAGACGAATCTCTCGAAGTTGTACTTTCAAGAATGATTGCACAAGATAGCATACCTTTCAATAAATTTTGTAAATCTGAAGATTTAAAGATGTTACTAAAAACAAAAGGGTACATAAAGTTAACAAAATTGCCCAAAACCATTCACAAAAAAGCAATGTATTATGCTAATAAAATAAGGAAAGAAGATGAATTGGCTAAAACTAAAAACAAAAGGGTACATAAAGTTAACAAAATTGCCCAAAACCATTCACAAAAAAGCAATGTATTATGCTAATAAAATAAGGAAAGAAGATGAATTGGCATCGAATAAAAACAGCCCGTATATAAATTTTATTATTCATGGAAATGACTGTAATTTTTGGAATCTTGGATTGACTCAGATTCATGGATCTGCACCTGATGAGATGTGCATAGAACTAATTGAAAAGAAGCTTAAAGAGTTTAATATAGCTTTGTCAAATATTGTGTGCATAGCATCAGATGGAGCTGCCGTTAAAATGAGAACAGTAAAGTTACTTAATGAAAACTATTAGTTATATATCATACATGGCCTACACTTGGTAATCATAAAAGTTCTTTATAATTAATTATATTAGTTCAACAGATGTACAAGATATTAATGAACATGATGGTGATGTGTTACTTAATGTTAATTCTGATTTTGATTATTCGGAAATTAAACTTGAAAATTTTGAAGTAGACCACGAAGATATCGACATTACCCAAATTGTTTTAAAAAACACAGAGCTAAATTCTTTAATTACAAAAATTTGGAAGTTGTAAAACATTTCAGAAAATCACCAGCCAAAAGTAATAAACTACTGTAAAAATACATTAAAGAAACTGTCGGAAAAGAACTTTCTTTAATTTTAGACTGTAAAACTAGATGGAGTAGTTTATGAGGCATGCTGGAAAGGTTTTTAAAACTTAAAGATGCTGTTCAAAAAAGTCTGATAGATTTAAAAATTGACATTGATTTTAGTTGAAATTGAAGTAAAATACTTTCAAATATAATATCAAGCTTGCAACCTATTAGGTTGGCCGTTATATTACTACACTAAAAAGGTTAATTTATATGTAGCTGATCTTACATTAAATTTTATGTTAGACGAGTTCATTAACCAAAACACTTTTTTTAAGTATTGCACTAAAAAATGAATTAATAAGTTGTATTAAAAAAAAAAAATGATGCTTTCAGATGTGTTACATAATATAACAGACCCAAATGTTATTATTACTGTTAAGGACATTTATGGCATTTTTGATATCAGTAGTAAGGTTTTGATATCAGTAGTAAGTAGTAATTATTAAAACTATTATTGACATTGTAGGAAATATTTTGTACAATAATGTGGAGTCTGGTGGTAGTATTCAAAGACACCTAAATGAATCAGATTCGGATTTCAATAATGACCTCATTACTGTTAAACAAAATGCTGATTTTTCTATAAAGAAAAAACTTTTTCTTAAAAAACAAATGGATAAGAATAAAGGAATAAGTGTTTTAGAAGAGAGTAACACAAAAAGTCTAAAAGAAATTATAAAAAAAGAGTTAGAGTATTTTTGACAAGAAAATGTGCGAGAGAAGTACATTTATATAGTTTTTGAATATTTGATGACCATTCGTCCAATAAGTGTTGAACCTGAAAGAGTATTTTCAGAAGCTGGACTAAATTGTACCAAAATTAGATCTCGATTAAGAGACAAGGCATTTGATAGATTAAGCTTTCTACAAAACTACTTTTTGAAAAATGATATTTATAATAAATGGTATTATAAAAATTGTATAGATTTATTGATATATAAAGTTTATTGGTAATTTACTGGTTTACTGGTATTACTATTTTCATTTACCAAATTACTGGAAGAGTTGGAAATTACTGGAATCTGAAAAAAGATAAAGATTGTAGAGCAAGATAAATATTGACAGACAACTTAAAAGATTGCAAATTATATGAATCAGGAAAGCAAGATGAAGGAAGCAAATTCCAAAGAACTGATGTTCAAGAAAAAAAACTATACGGATATGAGTTTTTAGAGCACTTAGGAAAATTTCCAGAAAAAGGATGAGGCTTGATTGAATGACGAGTAACATGAGAATAAATTTTAGCAGATGGCACAAGAGGTGCTAGCTCTTTAAAGTAGTGCCCATTATATTATAAGAGAAAGAGAAGCAACATTACGGCGATGTGATAATTGTTGGATGTTGGCTGCAAGAGCAGATCCAACTATGTTTATTATATGTTTTTGCATCTTATCTAAAAGAGAAAAGGCATCATTGGAAGATCCACCCCAGATATGGCAACAGTATTCAATAGAATCAGCAATAAGAAAGTGGCGAGCACAATAAAGAGATAAAACCTTAGCAGATGCTAATTTTGCAATAGACCTGATATATGGTTTCCAAGAAAGATCGGATGTAAGAGTTAATCCTAGAAGATGAAGACTACATGACTTGTCGAGTACATCACCATTCATAAATATAGGAAGTTCTAAATTATTGCAATAACGATTGACTGAAAAAAGTTGGGTTTTATCTAAATTAAAGTTCACCAACTACTGTGAGCCCCATGCTATAGGAGAAGTGAGATCCTTTTCAAGCTCAAATGCGCCCTCCAAGCTAAAAAATCAAAGAGTGTTGGCTTCTTATCAAGACAAAATAAATGGTAGTATCTTCACTGAACAATGCTAACTTAGATGTGAGAATGTCTGAAAGATCATTAATATAAATTAAAAAGAGTATAGGGCCAAGGATAGAACCTTGAGGAACCCCTAAAGTTATAGGTTATGAAGTACAGTGCTATCCATCGAGGACAGCTTTAATACTATAATTGATAAGGAAGGATTCAATAATCTTAAAGATGTTCCCTGATACACCGTAAGAAGAAAGCTTATGGCAAGACCAGCATGCCAAACTTTAAAGCTTTAAAAATGTCAAGAGCAATAGCCTTAACCTTTCCACCTCTAATGTATGATAAAACCAAGATGAGAGATAATGAGTGTTTGTTAATTAAAGATTCAAAAATCTTATGATATGAAGAAGACTAATGGGATGGTAGTTAGATGAGTCAGATCGCTCTCCAGAATATTTGAAAATAGGAATAAAAGATACTGATTTCCAGCATGCCGGAAAATAAGACTCCAATAAGCACTTGTTAAATAGTTTTGAAAGTATAGATGACAGCTCCACAGAACACTTCTGCAAGACTACAACAGGTATGTTGTCTGGACCACAAGCTATAGAAGAGTCTAAGCAGGAAATCACTTAGATACAGAAGCTGGAGTAATACGAATGTCAAGCAATGGATCAACCTGTTTGTCGGCAATATTAGGTAAAATGCAACTAGTGGAATCAAGAGATGATATTGATGAAAAGTTTTTAGCAAACAATTCTGCTTTGTCTTTAGGTGAGATAAAAATATCTGAACCTTACAAGAGAGGTGGAATAACAGATTTGCCCTTATAATTGATACTGTTAAAGATTCTCCAGAAGTCAGGAGAGCCTAATTTTTGAGATAAAGTAGGAGATTTGATGGCTTGAGAATAGCGGGCTTTGGTGTTAGACAAAACCTTTTTACAATGGTTTCTAGCAATACTAAACAGACGTCTATTTTCTGAAGAATTGTTATGCTGATAGATATGTAAGTAATGTTTTCGATTGGAAATCGCAGCAGCAAAGTGTGAAGTAAACTATGGAGAAGAGTGAGGCTTGACTTAGAATTGTTGAGAAAGAATAAAAAACTCTATGCCAACCTGAATCCAACAAGTTATGTAAGAAGCACATTTATCAGCAGGAAGACAAAAGATTTCTACCAAAAGGTCGTCCTAAAGAAATTCACAGAAAGAGTCCCAGTTAGCTTTAAGGTAGTGGTAAGAGGTATGATGATGAAGAATTCTGGTGATGAAGAAGAATGAGATAATAGTTTTAGAGAGATCAAACCATGATCAGAAGCACCTAAGGGTGAATGTGAGATACTGAGCACTGACAAGTTCAGAAACAAGGCATAAGTTGAGTAGAGAAGGTAAATGATTTAGGTTGTCTGGAAAATAAGTTGGAAAGTTGACTATTTGAGTTAGGGATTGAGAAAGGCAAAAGTTGTGAGCCTTAACGCCTGCAGAGTCACTAACACTTGAGACAAGCCATTCAGTGTGATGAGCATTAAAGTCACCAATAACAACAATATTGGCTGATGGATTAAGAGATTGGGCTTTGTCAATTTGATCAGAAATAACATCAAAAAGAGTGCAGTCTTGAGATAAAGGAGAACGATATAGAGCAAAGAGAAAAGCCATTAAGTGAAGTGGTGCTAGAGGAAAGAACATAAAAGAATAGTTTGTGGATTCAAACCTAGTTTTCTGACAAATGAGTGAATTCTTACAAATATAAATGCCCAGGCCAAGCATGTGACTATTGGAGTCTTTACAAATTTAAGAAAGATAACCATCAACATTAAGATCACAAGATGAGACAGCTGAACTGAAATTAGTCTCACAAAGAGCAAGTAGGTCTGGTGAACTTTGCAAGAGATAAGACTCAGCAGAAGAAAAGTTACTTGTAATGATATAATAATGACCACAAGTATTAGTAAATGATAGATTTAGAGAACTTGGTGAACGAACGAGTGGTGTGAGCTCTTTAGAGCAGTGCCCATTAAAGTATTTATAGAAAAAATATAAGAGAAATGGAAGCAACATTATGATGAAGTGACAATGATTGAAGATTGGCTGCAAGAGCAGGTCCAAGTATGTTTACAATATATTTTTGAAAAAAAAAATGAAAGGGTATTATTTGTCCATTGAGGACAAATTTTATATTAGAATTGGTAAGGAAGGATTTAATAATCTTAAAGATGTTACCTGATCATAAGAAAAGAGCTCATGGGGAAGACCAACATGCTAAACTTTGTCACAGGCTTTAGAAATGTTAAAATAGGGGGTCCATAATTCTATATGTTTTGTTTAACCAGTTATTCTTAATTAATTTTTTGAGAAAAGTTTAAAAAACAATTCAGTTTTTGCTAATTTTTTATGGTTGACCTTCTACTTCTATTTTAAAAATTTAAAAGATATAAAAAATAAAAGTCTTTGCAAAAGATTCATTGCGTATAAATTTTCTTAACTTTTCTTTCAAATTTAAGCTATTCAAATTTTGATTGGATAAATTTGATTTTTAATCGTTGCGTTTTAGAAAGAAAAAAAGTTTAATCTGAAGTCTCTTTTTAAAAAAACATTTTAAATATGTAAAACGACAGATTGCTTCAAAAAAAAAGTTTTATCTGAAGTCTCTTTCTAAACAAAACGTTTTAAGTAATCAAAAAGACAGATTGCTTTAAAATATCTTAATTTCCTTTTTTTTTTTAATTTTTAATCGTTATTCAAGCTATCAAGAAGGCTATTTAAGATTTCTTTTTTTTTTTTCACTTTTCTTTAATGAAGTCAAGAATAAATCTTCTTTTAAAATGCCAGTCAGTAGAAGTTCAGTTAAATTCTAAAGTTTTAACAATTCTAAAGATAAACAGTTAGTATAAAGCAACACCGCTACCTAAAAGGCTTTATAAAAAACAAACTGCGTGATCAAATGTTGAAATTTTCTGCTTTACTTTAAAACGCAGTGAATAACTAGTTAAAAAAAATTCTAGAAGCAGTTAATAAGTATACCTCAAAGAGATTGAGTGATTGTATCATTCTTGCTAGAGTATTTTGCCAAAAGTTAGCCTCAGGACTTCAAAAAAGAGAAAAGTATTATGTGTTTGGTTGATGATGGAATATGATTAGTATTAACTTTCTAATTAAGTTGTTGCAGTTGGAAAGCTTGGGAAAAAACCCATTTAATTTCAACAGTAGATGTATACTTAATTATTTAAACCATATAAAAAAATGAAGGTTCGCGCAGTTTAAAAATATTTTTTAGGAATACAATGTAGGTCATTGTCGTGGAGGTCTATTCTGTTTAAATACATGATTGTTGATATAAAAATACAAACCTCTATCTTATGTGTACCAAAGAACACGCTCATAACCTCGATGTTCTATAAGGAAAGTTCACGCAGCAATCTCTTTCACATGCGATGACTTTTATAGTTATTTTCCATTTTCAATAGTAAATAACAAACTGTATGAATTATTTTCATATATAATACTTAATTTTTTTTGTTACTTATAAATGATAAGGTATATTTTTAATAAATTAAACAGAAAAAGATTTCTAGTTTTCTACTTTTCTTATATTTAATGATAATAATAATTTCATCTAATTTTAACAATGCTTTTTTTTTGTCAATATATTCACTTTTATTAAAGTTACAAGATTAAAATTACAAGAATATTGATGATTAGAAAGTTAACAACTTTCTAATCATCAATATGCATTCCAATCCATATTCTTATAAATGTTAAAAATGAGAAATTAAGTGTTTGTTAATTAAAGGTTCAAAAATATTGCTTATGATTCTTGCTTATAAGCCAGATTGCTCTCCAGAATTTTTGAAAAAAGAGATAACAAATACCACTTTCCAGCAGACTGGAAAGCAAGACTATGAAAGCATCTGGATTAATGTGTTTGTTGCCTATATCAGGTAGGATATGATTAAGCCATTATATAGCCATTATTCCCATTTATTTTCCCACAGTAGGACAAAGTAGTGGAGTTTTTTTTGCGCCAAAATTGTTTTGTTAGTTTATGCAAATAAAATTTTTATGTCTAATTATATGTCTGCAAAAATTAAGTGTCAAGCTCTTATTTATTGCTGAAACCCTAAAAATTAGTATAAAAAGTTTTTAAAAACTTAAAAATTAAATTTATCTATGTTCTAGAACAAAAATTCTTTTAAATAAAAATGGATTTATTAAAAAAAAATTATTAATAAAAAATGAATTCCTTTACTGTTGGACATCAAATGTTGTCTGACTAATGTCTTGGGTTTTCTAATTTCTAGCAAATTCCTGAATCTATCAGACAATCTGAAATTTTATTCAGACAACATCTGATGTCCAAATGGCATAAAATGTACCACCAACTACATGTTAATTATAGGGTCAAAGCCTATATTTTTCATTTTGTCATTCACTTTTTACATAGTATTATTGCAATTGACTAAGGTTTTTCTGCAGTTGTTCCAACTTTCGTGTTGATAGGAACTTATACAGTTTTATGCAACATGATTAAGTTTTTAGTTTAGTAAAGGTTAGAGCAGTGCTATAACTTTGTGGTTTGATCAAAACTTTAGACCAATTAAAGGAAATTTTTGAAAAAAAATTTTTTAAAATTTTTTTTCAAGTCATTAAATTGCAATTATGAGCTTTAAAATAAAATATCTCATTAAAAAAAAAATTGAAATAATCTCCATGATAAAAAGCACATGTTTATTTATATTTAAAATAAACATGTTTTAGGATTTAAAAAAAAAACATTTTTGATGGGCATATGTTAGTTTTTTCTAATACTATATAAATATTTTTTTTTTATAACTATAAAATTATTATCAAAAATTGTTTTAAAACAACAAGTAATAGCTGTAAAAAAATATTTTTAAACTCGTAAATCACAGTCCAGATTTGTATGGCTTGAACCAGTTTCTTGTCAATATTGAATTTTTGTTTAGGCGGCTTTGGTTATGATTTCTCATCTAATATTGAATCTCTGGAGGACGGGTTAAATATTGTTTCAAAAGGTATTTTAAAACACGGAGTGACATCGTTCTGTCCGACTTTGGTTACTTCTCCTGCAAATATTTATAGACAGGTAGTTTATATGTTGTTAATTAGGTTTAATCATTTTTTATAGCCAAGTTTTTGTTATTTTATATCAATGGTATAATATATCTTATAAATTTCAAATATTATTTTTCTTATTACAAAAATACAATAAAATCAATTAAAAAGTTTATCATGTCATACAAAAGAAATAGGAAATAACAAAAAAATAGGTTAAAAAAATATACAGTATGTACAGAAAGTAGTAGCTATACAGAAATTGTGACAAAACAGAAAGCGTAATTCCTGATTTACCCAGGAATCACCCTTTTTCTTATGGATGCACATTACGCCTTCAGTAAAGATGGGAATGCAATAAACAAAATATTGGTTTAACCAAAATGTTGTTTGAAATTAAATTTTAGATGTTGCAAATTAAATTTGGGATGAATAGAAAAGATGCTAATCAAAGACAATCTTTTAATTAAAAACAAACAAAAAATTCAAGAGTATCAAAACTTTTTAAATATATAAAAAAAAAATTAAAACTGTTAAAATTATTTGGGATTTAAAAGATAAAAATGTTTTTGACTTTGTATTAAATTGTTCTTTTTCTTAAAACCTATAACAATGTTTTTTAAAAATGAAAAAAATAATTTAAACTCTTTTTAACCAAGAAGTTTCGTTCGTTTTATTCAAGAAGTTTCACATCCAAGGAGTTTTATTGCACAACCAAGAAGTTTTATTGCACAACCAAGAAATTTTATCAAATATATAAACAAATTTTTTTTAAAAAAAGTTCTAATTTCTTTAGCAGCGCTTCTCTGTGACAAGACCTGATCACCTGCTTTAAGTATCTGCATTCTTTATTTTTATTCTTTATTTTTAATATTTTAACAAAATCTTCACTTGTAATTTTTGTTTTTTATATGTTCATACCTGCGTCTTAAATATTGTAATAAAACAGAAAAAAATGAAAAAAAAAAAAAATGTAAAATTTGGTGATCTCAAAAATTTAAATTCTTTACATTAATTTTTTATTATTTTAAAATTTAATGTTTCTATAATTTAAATGTTCTTTTATATATTAAATTCATTATATCATTTAAAATTTAGGCATTACCAATATTAATGAAAAGAAAGGGTAGTCGTAATGGAGCTGAAGTTCTGGGTAAAAATTATTACACATTTTCTACCTATACTATATGTAGAAAATTAATTTAATTTTTTATAATCAAATCTTAAATCAAATTGCTCAAATAACACGAGAAAAAATCAAAAATATTGTAAAAATAGCATCAGAAAATTACATTGATAAATCATTGAGTTATTTCTGGTATTAGTAGAAAATTGATATTACTCAACTTTTTTTTCAACAAATATTTTTTTTTTTAATTTTTTTTTTCTACTTTATAAAGTTTTAACCTATACCATTTGATATATAACTTTCCATTAATACCATTAATTATTTTAAAAAACTTTCTAAATCTTATTTTCTTGTTGAACAGTAATTCTATCTTAATAACTGTCAACAATGAACTTTGTCCTTAACAAAAATAAACTTGTTTATTTTTTTTAATTGAAAAAATTACTATTAAGTTATTAAGTTTAACTTGTTAAAATTTTAATGCATGTTCAAATTGTTAGTAAAAGTTCTGAGTTAAAAACCAAGTTTATCTTTTGAAACAAAATTTTAAATTTAAGAATTTTAAAGTTAAAAACCAAACCAAGTTTATCTTTTAAAACAAAATTTAAAATTTAAGAGTTTTAAAGTTAAAAACCAAGTTTATCTTTTAAAACAAAATTTAAAATTTAAGAGTTTTAAAGTTAAAATCCAAGTTTATCTTTTAAAACAAAATTTAAAATTAGAGTTTTAAAGTTAAAAACCAAGTTACAAAAGAATATCTTTTTTTATCATAAAAGGTATTTATTATTTATATTACAAGAAATTATCTGTTAGATAAAAAAGATAAACAAAAATTGCTTAATTTTTTTTTAAATATTTAAATTGATGATTTAAATGAAATTAGTAATTTTATTTGTGTTGTTTTTTATTGTTTTTTGATATTTGTGATGTTCAAAATATAACATTAAAAATAAAATGTCACTTTACACAGCATTACAGTGCACAGCATTTACCATTGCACAGTTTTTTGCAACAATGTTTTAGTTTAATTCAGCATGAAACAGTGTATGAAAAGCTGACCACTAATTTTTATGAACTATATAGAAAAAATTAGTTTTGTTATTCTAACAAATAGGAACATATTTTTAAGATACAAATGTTAAGAGATCTAAAAAAGATCTATAAAACTTGAGAATATGCTAAAGTAACCATAACAACATGTACTAAAGTAACTGCAACATGCACTAAATAAACCAAAATATATGTTCAATTATTTAAGAAATATTAAATTGTACAAAATAAGATAATTTTTTTCAAATTGAATAAATATTAAATGTAAGCTTATATTTGATTTGGTTATATTTGATTTGGTTTGGTTATATTTGACTTTTTTTTATCACAACTTTGATTAAGTTGTAAAATTAGCCGTGTTTATTAGCTAAGACATTTTTGGGTAATATTTTTTAAATGTTAGTAAGTAAAAAACATTTTCAAAAAATTTTTAAACTTTTAACAAAAACAAAAACAAGCTTTGATTCTTAGACAATCAATATGGTTTTTGATCTTATTTTTCAGTTGAATTGTCGACAATTAATAACTGAACAGCTTTGATAAGTGTCATCATCATCATCATCATCATCATCATCATCATCATCATCATCATCATCATCATCATCATCATCATCATCATCATCATCATCATCACCAAAATTTCTGATTCACATATTGTAAAGCAGGCTGAACAAAGAAAAATTAGTTAGAGCTTGGACAGCTCTACTAAAAAACTGCTTTTATACATAAGTTTGAATATTTTTACTTTCATTTTTAACATCCGTTCATTATTATCTGTTCAATTTGCATTAACATTTTTTTTTATCATACACATAGTGACAATTCAAATTATGGTGCTGTCTCTCTTTTCAAGTAATAGTATAATTTTTTTTATTTAGTTGCTCATTGTGAAGGTCCCTTTATCAATATAATTTTTTTATTTAGGTGCTCATTGTGAAGGTCCCTTTATCAATATAATTTTTTTATTTAGGTGCTCATTGTGAAGGTCCCTTTATCAATATAATTTTTTTATTTAGGTGCTCATTGTGAAGGTCCCTTTATCAATATAATTTTTTTATTTAGGTGCTCATTGTGAAGGTCCCTTTATCAATATAATTTTTTTATTTAGGTGCTCATTGTGAAGGTCCCTTCATCAATATAGAAAAAAGAGGAGCTCATGATCCAAACTATATTAAGTCAGATGCAAATGGAGGTATCCAAGTATTAGAGTTGACATATGGCTCACTTGATAATATTGCTATTATAACTGTAGCACCAGAGCTTTCTGGTATTGTTGATTGCATCCCTTCCCTTGTGGAACGAAATATTGTTGTTTCAATTGGTGAGTTTCTGTAGAATGGACTTATAAAAATAGTTATTTTGTAGAATATGTTGTTATTTTTATATTTTTTATTTGTTATTAATATTTTTTTTTTAATTTTTTAAAATTTAATTGTTATTTAATTTTATTTTTTAGAAAATTAAAATTTCTAAAATATTTCTTTTGTAATGATTTCCAAGGTCACTCAACAGCTAGTTTAGGTCAAAGCGAGGTTGCAGTGTCTCAAGGGGCTTCTTTTATTACTCACCTTTTTAATGCAATGCTTCCATTCCATCATCGTGACCCAGGTATGGTTGGTTTATTGACTAGTGATGTAACAAAGAAGACAGTATTTTATGGTATGATAACTGATGGTATACATACTCATCCTACAGCACTTCGAATTGCTTATCGAAGCCATCCTAAAGGTGTGTACTTAAAATATTTTATGCTTATTGCAATAGCAAGTGAAGTATGATATATAAGTAGTTCAGAGTTTGACCTCCACCATATCCCTGGTACTGTATGCTCAATTTTTTTCCTTGTGAAAAGAATTAGTTTGTTAACCTCATATTTTAAAGTTAAAGGGCTGATGGTTATAAAATAAATTTAAAATAATAATGATAAAACAGTAGTCTGTAGTAGCCTTTGTGGCCATAGGGAAGTAAATACACAAATAAAAAGATTTTTTGACATTATTCTTACAATGATTGAAGATTGCTATGTCCTGGCAATCATGGCAACAGCTATATATTTTTAAAAAACCAACTTTAAAGTAATTATGTGGAAGAAAAATGTTTAAGAATCTAAAAGCCAACTCCCTCTGATTGCTTGCAGGGGGCATTTGAGCTTGAAAAGGATCTCACTTCTGCTACAACATGGGGCTCACTGTGGCTGGTGAACTTTAATTCAGATAAAACTCAATTTTTTTCAGCCAATCGTTATTGCAATAATTTAGACCTTCCTATATTTATAAACTGTAATGTACTTGATGAGTCATCTACCCTTCATCTTCTAGGATTAACTCTCACTTCTGATCTTTCTTGGAAACCTTATGTCAAATCCATTGCAAAATTAGTATCTGCTAAAGTTGCATCTCTTTATTGAGCTCGACACTTTCTTACTCTGGATTCTATTCTCTATCTCTATAAATCTCAAATCCGACCTTGTATGGATTACTGTTGCCATATCTGGAGCGGATCTTCTAATGATGCCCTTTCTCTTTTAGACAAGGTGCAAAAACGCATTGTAAACATAGTTGAAGCTGCTCTTGCAGCCTATCTTCAACCTCTGTCACATCGTTGTAATGTTGCTTCTCTTTCTCTTTTCTACAAATACTATAACGGGCACTGCTCTAAAGAGCTAGCATCTCTTGTGCCATCTACTAAAATTCATTCTCGTGTTACTCGTTATTCAATAAGTCTCATCTTTTTTCTGTTACTGTTCCTAAGTGCTCCAAAAACTCTTATTCCTCTAGTTTTTTTCCTCGAACATCAGTTCTTTGGAATTCGCTTCCTTCACCTTGCTTTCCTGATTCATATAATTTGCAATCTTTTAAGTCGTCTGTCAATTGTTATCTTGCTCTATAATCTTCATCTTTTCTCTTCCAGTAACTTCCAACACTAATTAGTGGTTGCTTGCAGCCTTGTTGGGAGCGAAGATGTTAAAAAAAATATATATATATAGTTTTGGTCAAAATGATCTTACTTTCTTCAATATGTTAAACTGTAGAAGAACTACATTGTTCAAACCTTGTCATTTTTTTTTCTCCATTTGTATTTTTTAATCACTGATCATTAAAAATAAGTTTATTGTTAATTTTAACGTTAAAAAATTAACTCAAACTTATTTTTTAATGTATAATATAGAATTAATATTAAAAAAAAAACTTGTTTATGCAAATTTTATATATTTAGTTATTTAATGCAAAAAAAAAAATGTTTATTGTAATCGCTCATTAAAAAAAAAGGAAAAATATATAATGCTTTTAACTTTTTGAAATTTACTTATACTTAAATGTTAATATTATAGGTATTGTAATAACAACTGATGCAATAGCAGCTTTAGGATTATCTCCAGGTATATATAAACTAGGAACAATGTCTGTTGAAATATCTGAGAAAGACGCTAAAATTGCTGGTACAAACACACTTGCTGGGAGGTACCTTAGTAACCATTACCTAAATGACCATTTTTTAATTTTTTATAAGCTTAAATTTAATATACCTAAAGTTGATAAATTAAATTTGTTTGCTTTTTATTATAGTGTGTGTAGCATGGACAGATGTGTCTACCAGTTCAAACAGCAAACAAGTAAATTTTTTAATAAATAATTTTAGTTAAAACCTATCAAGTAAATAAACAAAGTGGATTATAGAAATTACAAATTTTTATTGTAACATTAAAAAAAGCAATAGATGAATGCAGCATTAGGTTCATGTTAATGATGTCATACTGAAATAGAAAGCTGCAAGGGCTCCTGCACTTACAACAACTGACTATGTAAAAGTCACATACAAGGAGTGCTGCTACATCAACTAAAAGTTTGGGTTTGGAAAGCAATCATGTTTTTCATTTATCTTTTTTTTGTTAAAAATTTAAGTGCACATTTTAAGAATTAAAGCGCACAAAATATATTAGGAAATTGCGTCCTTATATATATATATATATATATATATATATATATATATATATGTTTATATATATATATAAATGTATATTATTTATATATATATAAATATATATATATATTTATATATATATATATATATATATATATATATATATATATATATATATATATATATATATATATATATATATATATATATATATATATATATATATATATATATATATATATATATATATATATATATTATTTTAAAACATCAAAAATACGATTTCTCTCAACACTTATAATTTTTTTATTATTATAGAAATTTTCGCTGGATTTTAGATACCAGCTTCTTCAGCTTGTTAAATGTTACAGTAATTAATAAAATCGTTATAATTTAAATTAAAACGTTGCTATTGACGTCAGCGGTTGAATGGCTTCTTTTTCGCTGAAATTTAAAAAATGGCGTCCAAAACTTAGTTTTTACGTATTGACCCTCATCGAGATTAATCCCGCCATTTTTTGCAGAACACATGTTTTTTTGTATTTCTAGGGCTTCCCTAACTTTTCTTTCAAATTTTTTATTTTCTACTTTCAATGTTTTTGTTTGTTCCCAAATAATTTCTTTTTTGCAAAATGTTTTATGCAGAGCTAATGCGGATTGATGCTGCTTATTTTCATCAATGCTAACATGAAACAAACATGTGTTCTGCAAAAAATGGCGGGATTAATCTCAATGAGGGTCAATATGTAAAAACTAAGTTTTGGACGCCATTTTTTAAATTTCAGCGAAAAAGAAGCCATTTAACCGCTGACGTCAATAGCAACGTTTTAATTTAAATTATAACGATTTTATTAATTACTGTAACATTTAACAAGCTGAAGAAGCTGGTATCTAAAATCCAGCGAAAATTTCTATAATAATAAAAAAATTATAAGTGTTGAGAGAAATCGTATTTTTGATGTTTTAAAATAATATATAAATATACTCTCACACAAGATGTTATCCTTTAAATCATATATATATATATATATATATATATATATATATATATATATATATATATATATATATATATATATAATATATATATATATATATATATATATATATATATATATATATATATATATATATATATATATATATATAAATATATATATATATATATATATATATATATGTATATATATATATATATATATATATATATATATATATATATATATATATATATATATATATATATATATATATAATTTCTATAATAATAAAAAAAATTTTTTTTAAGATTTGATTGCATAGTTGTTTATTTTGTGCCATTTGACATATTAATTAACTGTGCAAAAAATCTTTCCGATCAGATAATGTTTAGGGGGTGCTCAATGACCATAAAGTTTTACGAAAAATGTGAAAAACATGGAAAAAGTAACAAAGTTCCACAAATTTCTAAAACCCGGTTAATTAGATTTTTCAGATTTGATCAGTTTTAATTATCTCTAAATATTAAATTCTGAATACAAATTACAATCCACATCCACTTTATACTGGTTTGTTAGCAGAGAAATTAATGAAATAAAATACTGCAATACGACTAAAGTTCTGCGGTTTTTGTTATATCAGAATTTTTCCAAAATAAAACACTAAGATTTTTGACTCTTTGTCATTGATTAAAATACGAATTATAAACAAAAAATATTATTGTAAAGGAGTAACAGTTTCTCAAACCGTTATCAACTACTAAGTAGGTCAACTCAAAAACATATGAGCAATTAACATTTAATTATCGTAATGTTATGTAATCGTTATGTTGTCCAGTTTCAGCTGATAGTTTTGCTATTCCAAGTATTTTGTCAACATTGTGACCTGTCACACCTACAGATAGCCAGTCAACATTTGCTTTAGGGTCTGCAGAATTCGTACGATCTATCATCAGTTTGCCATCCCAGTGGACGATTAATGGTGGTTTGTCCAAATCGCAGAATTCAGTTCGAACAGTGGCTTCAATGTTTGATCGATGATAGGTTCGTTTTCTACGGACTGTAGAACGTGACAATGATCCATCATCAAGGTTCTGTCCACCAGCCCTTGCAATTGCTGCTGCTAGTATAGTAAATTTAAGTTCTTTGTCCTCTCCAAACATCACCATTTTTCTCTGACATCTCTGATCCAATAAAAATTCTTTATCTTCTTCAATTCTGATCATGGTTTCAGCATCCTTGTCGGCAATGTCAAAAAGTAGGCCAATGGTGTCTGTAAATGATTTCTCTCTTGATTTCTGAGAATCTGACAATCTGGATTTTTTTTTTTTATTAATTTAAATTCCTGGACTAAAGTTTTCAACTTTAAGACTACATTCGGATGAAATGCTGTCGGAATACGGGCTTTATTCCAAATAATAATCAGTTCATCAACAGTTGTTTTAAGACTTTCAGGCACTGACTTTTTGGTTGAATTAAGATGATAAAAAAATGTTTTTAAAACATCAGATGTTAAGGGAAGAACTTTATCTGGAAGATTTAGCTCTGGTTGTCCAATTAAAAAGATTTCGGTTTGAAGTCGTGTAGAGATAGCAACACAAGATGATGCTGCCATTTCAATGATAACTGAAAAATTATGAGAAAATCAAAACTCAATACCATATTATACAAACTTATCATTCAGTTGTTGGTTTATGCAGCTGCAGCAATATATAATAATAATTATTACTAAAGAAATTAAATAAATATTTTCAAATTAGAAATTATTATTATCTGCACTTAATAACAAACAATACACTACCAGACTACCATGCTAGTTTTCTGTAATAGGTTACTAAGGTTAGGTACTATCAAAATATTAATACATTTGTTGTCAAACTGAAATTCCAAATAAAAATAATATTTATACTTGTAAACCTTTTTATTCTGTTTGAACAAATTCTAAATTGAGTTAAATAATAGTATTAAAATTATGAATACAAATTTTAACAAAATGATATAAACACAGTTGTTTTAAACACTAGCAGACATTTTTTAGTCTGGTGCCCTGATGACAGTTAATCTGCTGCACTTTAATTAATCTATATAGCACGCAATCAGACAATATTTCAGTGGCAAAAATCTAACTAACCAGGTTCTAGAAATTTTTGGAACTTTGGAACTTTTTCCACGTTTTTGACGTTTTTCGTAAAACTTTATGGTCATTGAGCACCCCCTAAACATTATCTGATTGGAAAGATTTTTTACACAGTCAATTACTATGTCAAATGGCACAAAATAAACAACTATGCATTCAAATCCGAGAAAAATTTTTTTTTCCTGTGTTCACATGAACAGCCCTAATATATATATATATATATATATATATATATATATATATATATATATATATATATATATATATATATATATATATATATATATATATATATATATATATATATATATATATATATATATATATATATACATATATATATATATATATATATATATATATATATATATATATATATATATATATATATATATATATATATATACATATATATATATATATATATATATATATATATATATATATATATATATATATATATATATATATATATATATATATATATATATATATATATATATATATATATATATATATATATATATATATAAATATTACATGTGTTATCCTCTTTTGTGGCCTAAAACCTATCTGCATACTCTATTATAATCATCTGCAATTAACATGCTACTTCTCATTTTTTTTTAAGTTTTATAAAACATTACCAAGAACAATTTTAAATTTTTTTTTTATTTTCTTACCCTAACTGTTTGAGGCACATAAAACTATATTAACCACTAAATAGTTACTTTTAATACTCATTTACTTATCTTATTTCCGCTATGTTATTTATCTATTTCTTTACAATCTAAATATTAACATGTGACACTCCTTCTTTGCATCAAGACTTTGACTTTTTTTCAACAATCATCACATCCAATAACTTTAGTAATGCCATTTTTCCTGCCAATTTCTTTGCAAGCAGCATTTACCAATCTCCGACCTGCTATTTCAACAATCTCAAACGATTTTCTTTTCAAAACTTTGCCTATAAGTTTGGAGCAGCTATCAATCAAATAAGAAACCGTTTTAAAACTGCACTAATTCGGCTGAATATTGCTCTACTAATTTGTGGCAAGTTTGTGGCTGGCTATAGTTTTGTGCAGTTGGCTCTAGTCAAATTAGTTTTAGTTATATGACCTTCAGATGTTGGGTGCATGTCAATGATTGTTGCCATTGATGTCAGTTTCAGATGTTGAGTGCAATGTCAATGTTTAACTACTGCCTAACTGTGTTTATTTAGGTTTAAATCTGGCAATGAACCAGGCTATGGCTCTAAAATTCGATTGCCGTTTTCTGACATAATTTTTTATAAAATATTAAAAAACTAAAAATTTGAATACCTAATACTAAAAGAAATAATTTTGTGAAATGCTACTATAATAATAACTTATGTTAAATAAAATAAAGTTTTTCTAAAAATGTATTTTCAAATAAATATTTCATCTGATTCCTTGATTAATGGAGAAAAAATGGGCAAACAGGCAATTGATAATTTTAAAACTATATATAAATAATTTATTTATTGCAATGATTTTGCAAATCGCGGGAAAAGCTAAGAAAAAAATAAATAAAAAGATACAAAGTACAGTTGGA